GAGGGAGGGAGGGATTGGAAGCAAGCTGAGAGGTCTGACGTGTTTTTCCAGTGGAAGTCATGGAAGCAGGAGGAGGAGGAGAAGGAGAAGGAGGAGAGCAGCAGGTCGGAGACTCTGCTTCCTCCCTCGTTCCTTCCTGACGAGCACCAGGCGCGTATGCGACCAAGGCTTCACCAACAAGAAAGTGAGGGACAGAGCATACACGTCGCTACTGGTGAGACGGCGCTGCTCCTCTTGCTGCTCCTCTTGCTGCTCCTCTTGCTGCTCCTCTTGCTGCTCCTCTTGCTGCTGCTGCTGCTCCTCCCCTTCTTGACAGGCATCTGCAGATTCAGCAGTCGAAGACTTCCGGAACCTCCGAGAACCAGACCAAGGTGCTACTGCTACTGCTGCTGCTGCCCCTGCCCCTGCCCCTGCCCCTGCCCCTGCCCCTGCTCCTGCTCCTGCTCCTGCTCCTGCTCCTATTCTTCCTCTTCCTCGTTGTCGCTGGCAGCTCCTACAATCTCGCCTGACGGCTGAGCAGGATGAACTCCAGCACAGTGCAGAGGACACGTTGACGAGCCAGGTGGTGGAGGAAGAGCGGAGGGAGCAGGAGGGAGCGGCAAAGATAAGGCGGAAGAGTAGGAGGGGGAGGAGGGGGAGGAAGAGGCAACAGAAGCAGAGGCATGAGCAGATGAGGAGGGGGAGAGGGAAGCGGTTGGGAGCCAGAGAAGCAGGAGGAGCAGGAGGAGCAGGAGCAGGAGCAGGAGCAGGAGGTGGAGGAGGAGGAGCAGCAGGAGGAGGAGGAGCAGGAGGAGGAGCAGGAGCAGGAGCAGGAGGAGGAGAAGAAGCAGGAGGAGGATGAGGAGGAGGAGCAGCAGCAGCAGCAGCAGGAGCTCATCGTATTAGCAGGACGTCGGGCGTCTCCTCCTGGAGAAGGATGAGAGGATCGCCCAACTGGAGGCCAAGGTTTGACACCCTCCTGCCTCTTGGCGCGTTTGACACCATCCGACTGCAGCTGGAGGAGCTGCTGGTGATGGAGAGGCGCAAAGACTCCACAGACATGCTCTCAAGCCTCAGGTCTGACCCTCCAGCTGAGTTCCTGCTGGCTCACGACCTGTTCCAGCTCTGCCCGGTCGATGATGAAGACGCTGCGAGGATCCATGGCTCGCGATCAGGTCTGCTGCTGCTGCTGCTCCTACTCCTCCTCCTCCCCTCCCTCCTCCTCCTCCTCCTCCCCTCCTCTTCGTCCTCCTCCTCCTCCTCCTCCTCCTCTTCTCTTCTTCTCCTCTGTTTTGGACTTGTCCCTATTTGTCTTCCCCCCGTGTCCCTCCACATCCTCCCTCAATCCCCAGCACTGTCTCCTCTCTCACTACTCATGCAGCATGCGATTCGCTCCCTGGCAGCTGCGGCATGGCCGAATGGGCGCGCGAAGTGAAGGCGATGCCGGAGGAGGAGGAGGAGGAGGAGGAGTGTAGAAGATGTCAAAAGTACACAAGGCGCTCGTTATCATGACAGATCTTTGTTTCCCAGCAGCCGCCCAGCTCTTCACGCCTTCTTCTGCTTCTTCACGATGCCTCCTGCGGGCTCTCCTCCTCCCGACTTGCGCTTGTAGCTCGCGTCCTCGTTCTCGAGCTCTTTCTCGATCAGACGCACCAGCTGCTTGAAGCGAGCCTCCAGCTCCTTGGGCGTGCGAGACTTGATGAACCAGTCGAAGCGGAAGTTCCAGGAGCGGCGGATCTCGTACTTGAGCTCCTCCCACCTGCCGTACCCCAGCTGGTGCGTCATGCACACGATGAAACGATCTTCCTCCTCTGTGAAAGCCTGCGAGGCAGCAGCTTAGGTCGACGTTGACATGGCGGTAAGACGAGAGCGGAAGGAAGCGGAAGGAGGAGGAAGAGGCGATGGAAAGGGGAGTAGGAGGAGTAGGAGTAGGAGGAGAATGGGCAGGAGAAGGAGGAAGGACGGGGGAAGGGGGAGGGAGGGGGCGGAGGCCTTACCTTGCCCTTGGCATTGCCGTACTGGAACTTGAGCTGCTGCCAGGGGTTCGCGTATTTCTCCACCTTGAGCTTGACTGCATTCATGCACTCCTGACGTTTCTGAATCTTGCTCTCTCCCTTCTCAATCTGCACCATAATCCCTTCAGCTAGCTAGTATTGACAGCACCACTTTCTCCTCCTCCTCCTCCTCCTCAACCATCTTCGGCCACTACCACCACCACCGCAACCACCACCTCGCCACCTCCTGTTCCTCTTCCCTTCCTGGTGCTTGTCCTCGTTTTGATCCTCGTGATTCCTCTCCCTCTTCTCCCTCCTCTCCCTCCTCGTCACCTGCTTCTCTACGTTGTCCCAGTTGGAGAGTCTGTTGGGACCCAGGCGCCAGAAGGCTTCTGAATATCGTTTCACCTGCATGACGTTAGACCCCTCGAACCCCCTCAGCTGGACTTCACCTCCTCTGCCGTCTTGCTCTCGAGCTCCTGTGCGATGGCCTCGAACCTGTTGGCCAAGAGTTGTCAGGAGAGGAGAGGAGAGGAGAGGAGAGGAGAGGAGAGGAGAGGAGAGGAGAGGAGAGGAGAGGAGGGGAGGGGAGAGGAGAGGAGCGGAGCGGGGAGGGGCGGGGGGGGGGGGGG